TCGGTCCTTCGCCACTGTCTCCGCTTCTCGTTTCCTGCTGCCTCTCTCTATCCGAATATTCCTGCTCAGACTTGAGGTCGCTCAGGGTCTTGATGTTGCTACCCGTCCCAGCACCACCCTTCCATCTGGGAGCCTGCATAACCGCCCCCTTGGTATCGCCTCGTGATGGCACCGGTGGAGCCGGCGGTCTATCCCCTTGATCACCTATCCCAGCGGTTCCCCTAAGTGCTCCGCCATCTCTGCCATCTCCCGCCTTTTCCCCGGCACTTTTTCTCTTCTCGTCTCTTGCTTGCTTCTCTTGTCGTTGGTTCGCGAGCTCCTGAGCACTCTCGAGCAGCTCCTTCCTCTTCTTCGCCTCCCGGTTTTCTTTCTTCGCCTTCTTTCGTTCTGACCGACTCCTCACGGTGGCGAAACCCTCGTCACTGCCTTCCTTGCACTCCTCAGTTATCGATGCGTCTCCCTCTCGAGCAGATTGGTTCTCCGGTCTATCCTCACCCATAGCATCATCCTCTTCTCCATCCGACTCTGCATCGTCTTCCATCATCTCTGCGTCATCTGCCATCGCCTTCAGCTGCCCGATAGCCGCCATAGCCCTTAGAGCTTGATACTCGGGGTCCTTCATGTGGAAGCCGGCCGCCGTGTAAATGATCACTTTCATCCGGTGCCAAGAACCCCTATCTCCGGCTGACACACAGTGAGCTTCGGACTTACCACACATTGTCTTCCACACCGACTCGTCTATCCTGGCAGCCATCTCCGTATACACCCCTTGTCTATCCGATGTCCTAAGGCTCTCCGTGGCTCCCGTGATCTTTGTCTCTGGCACAATCACTTTCGTTTTCAGTGACCGGTCTGCCTTCGCCACTTCTATCCAGCGTCTGAGCCAGACTCCAACCTCTCCAATGCTATCCCTGCCCTCCTCGCTGATCACCTCCCTAATAGCTGAAGTTTCCCTATCATATAACTCCATGTCTCGCGGGGTCGGCCACATCATTCCAAACATCGAGATGAACAGGATCTGCGCCCAGAAGCCGAACGTTCGCCCGGCACTGATGTACAACTTTCCCGCGTCCACCCCTATTCGAGGAAACGCCGTACGCATAACGTTCCAAGGCAGAGTGATGATTCCAGACTTCTTCATCAGTTTATCCATGGCTTCTCCAGCCCTTATCAGCTCCTTAGCCTCCTCCCTGACTCTGTAGTTAGTGGGGAATCCATTCTCTTCGAAATTTCCGGGCCCTACCCAGAGCACATTGGCATTGGCTTTCCTGATCGTCTCCCTCGTCTCCCTCGCCACCTTGGTCTTAGTGTCATCGTCCGTAGCCTCGAACCGTCTAACCTCGTCTATTGCTCGGCGAGCATTCCCTGCTGCCATTCCAGCCGGGGCCAATACCACAACAATGTTCGTCACTTGATTCCCTCCCATGCCCTTCGAGACGCATTCCTTGCACACTTCCTGAACCTTCTTGTACGCACCCTGGTAGGTCATCTCCTGCGTTCCTGTCAATTTGTGTGTAATGAACGACATACTCTCCGCGGCCTTTCCATAGTCTCCGTGCGCCTTCAATAGCATTGCTATCCACTCTCGGACTTCCCCTGGTGACGCCGGATTCTTCTTATTCGAGACGCCCTCTATCCCCTCAGGTATGATGATGTGTACGTAGGTCTTCTGATCCGCACTACATCGGAGCTGAAGTGGCGGCTTCATTCCCTCCGCCCACCATGTCACCAGCTCAGCCGCCTTGCGCTCATGGAATGCAGTAGCTATGTCAAACATCCACTCGTAGGTCTCCACCGCGGACTCAAGCTCGCTCGAAAGCGCTGGCTCCATCAATCTCCCTCCAACTCCGCCCATTCCTATGCCAATGATAGCCGCCCAGGCCTGAGCCTCGAACGCCCAGCTCTGGTCGACGTCCTCCGGTCTGTTCCACCCATATTTCCTGGGTGCCTTTTCTATCCCCAACACTATGCTTCCCACGTCCGCCATTTCCAAAACCTTGCCCATGTGGTGCGTGGCCTTATTCGCGTTCTCCATGACTTTCTCCTCTATCCCGCTGCTCTCCACACACCGTCTGTAAATGGCTGGCCCCACAAAACTCCTCCACGGCATCTTCACGACAGCGCTATCGTGTCCCGTGGCCATTGGGGCCTCTATCCCCATATACTCCAACAAACGTATCACATTGGCCCATTCACTATCCACCGGGTAGTAGTCCTTGTCTCGATCAGGCCCAGACACGCCCCCACCGCTAGGCAACTCCGCTATCCATCCCCTCATGAGCTCTATCAAACCACTTCTTGAGCCAGTTGGCTGTTCGACGACCTTCGTGACATTTTCGTCACCTTCCCGATGCAGGAACTCGTGTTCCATCTTCCAATCCACAGGGCGCTCAGGAAGAGGTCCTCGGGCCGGGCCTATAATTGCGCGCTTTTCCAGGTGATATCGCCAATACAGCCTCTCAACCCCTTGCGGGTGCTTCTCCATCAGCGCCGACATCTCACTCATGAGATGGCTATTCGCTCCTAAACCCGGGTGCTTCGGCCTACAGATGAGTGCATGCCCGATGATCTTCGTGGCCCTCATAAAGCAGAACAGTACCCCGTCTATCTCCACTCTATCCACATCCATTCGGATCTGCCCGTCAGGCACCGACGATCTCCTTGTCCCCACATCCATTTTGACATTCTTGCCTATCCTTCTGAAGCCGGCCAGTACTCTTACTATCCATCCATTCCCTAACGAATGCCATGTAGAGTATGATGCTGTACCACAGATGCTTCGTCCAAACCAGCATCCCGCAGAGTCGTTCACACTGGGAGCGCCGGTCGTCCACGTGACCAGCGGATGGCTTCGATCTATCCCACCAGATGCTATCATCGACCACAACGCCTCTAGAGACGTTCCGTGGAAAATCCACCCGGGCACATTGAACTCCTCATTCCCGACCGACATCTCCTGATTCAGCTTCTCTGCTCCGGCGTACTCGGCCTTCGTGGGTACCCACATACATCGCGAATCCGTGAAATGTTCTTTCACATCCTTAATCCCCCCGTCTGCCTGGACCTCCGGAAATGTGATCACTTCTTCGGCCAGGGACCAGTGCAACAGGTGTAGAACTGACGTCGGTCCCCCTATCTGCCATGACAGTGTATCCAGATACTCCTTCATCTGTCCATTTGCTGCATTCGCCATAACTCCGTATCCTTTTTCTCCCCCCTCGCTTCTCCGGAATTCCTCCATCACGTCTCTTCCTCTCTTCAAGTATTGGCTTTCGTAGGCCCCCATAATCTCGTCTGCCATGCCTATCACCTTGATCTTGGGCTGCGCCTCCGTCCATATCTTCAGCTTCTCCTCGCTCGACTTATGGCTGACCGCTATCCGCTCCGCAACCTGAGACGGTGGAATTGCATACTTCAATGGTCGCACGGCCAACCATGTCATCATGCCTTTGATCGCATCATCGAACGGGCTCTTCTCTGTGTCGTCCATGTGGATCTCCGCCCAATCTAGGGTCTTTCTGCTGATCCCTCCCCAGCTAGCCCTGAATGGGTCCTTGCTTCCGTTCGTGACGTCATATACACCTCCCACGGAGATGGCTATCGGTGCCACACCAGCTATCATCCTCTCATACGATCTTCCCCTCTGAAAGGACTTCTCTGTTTCATCAGTCGCGCCGATGAACTTAGGGGCCCATGGCGTATCAACGTCTCCTCCTGTGCCCGCTGTGGGCATGGCACATCCCGGCACGTCTATCCCTCTGGCCAATCGCACTCCTATCAAGTCGTTCAGCTTTTCCCTCGACAGGTTCCCGGAATCGGGACTCGCCTGAGGTGGCGGCTTCGTCGCCCCTCCATGCGACCTCGGCCTATCCCAGTTCGCTATCACCCTCTCCAGGTAGTCCGTGGCATCCGTCACAGTCGCAGCTATTAGAGGGATCTTCTCCCTTATCCACGCTTCAGGATTCCGCCTTGTACACCATAGTACCTCCCAGAGATACATAATCTTGTGCACTCGCATTCTATCCACATCGTAGCCCACGGCCGGTCGTTTACCTCCTTTCTTCGCCGTCTTGGCCTGGGCCTCTTCCGCTCTCACACCAGCTATCCCACTGCTCATCCATTTCTTGAAGTCCGCATCGTCCTTGAAATGACTGGGGATAGCCCGTCTAGCCCATACCTCCTGCATCTCTAGATTTCCCTCCAACATCCAGTGTATTCTAGCCTGTTCTCGTTCCTTGGCTCCGACTGGCAGATACGAGTACGTCGTCACCCCTGGCACTCCATCCTCCGTCTCGGCCTTGAGGTATCTATCCGCGTCGGAAAACACTTTCTCCAGGAAGTCTATCATAGCTTGTGCTCGATCACATCGCTCCCTCTCTCCTGCATCCCTGGCCTGGCGCTCCGGACGTTGCCATCGTACCCCTACTGTCCTTGAAGACGAAGCGGTCCCAGGATCTTCGTTGCTTCCGATATCTCTATCCCGTTCACTCAGCGATACCGATCCGAACATCTCTCCCATGGCTTCACGCTATGCAAGTCGTTAGATCCGTCCTCTTCCTTACACTCGCAAACAACTCGAGGTCACACAAAAGTCGCTCTAGTCAAGACGTCGTTGAAGAGCATTACAAAGTGCTTCAATATTCACCATATCGCTACTTTCTATCCGAGCCTTTGATTCTTCATTAATGTATATGGTGCATTGTACGTCCTCTCCTTTGTCATGAAGCTCTCCTATCTGCGTCTTTCCCCGCATTCGAGCCAGTTTCCCACGTGCAGCAAGAATTCTCGCTATTCCCTCGGATATGGCGGCATCACTGCGATTGATCAGAACAATCCCGATGCCCGCAGCGATCACTCTATCGACTAGTAAAGCTAGGCTATCAGCCGCACTTTGGTCCTTTCTTCCCAGCTTAAGCTCTGCTCCGCGGGCTAGTCGAGAAGGCGAGTCAACTCGCTTCGGTGCTATCACAACTATCCCGTCGCACTCACCGACGATCGCCTCATCGACCTCCAGAATTGGCGAGTGTTTGATATCCCACACCATTTCCCAAATTATCCATCTTCCCACTATGGACTTTGCTATCCCGACGTTATCCCTGATGTCATACTCGAGCTGATTTTGGGATACCCCCCGGCACGCGGGCATAGCTAAGATGGTTCCCGTTGCGTTCCCGAACTCCTCTTCACCGAAATGTGCGGTAGTGTACATATCCCTTAACCACTCTCGTGCTTCATTGATGGCCTTGGTCATCATGTTGGCGGCCTGATACTCAGTAGGACAATTGACAAACGTGAACATGACTGCCTCGTAGAACTGGTTCAGCCTAGCTATGTCTATTCGTTGTGTTCTAGACAGGTACCTCATGTTCGGATTCTTGCCCGAGACAATCACTCTAACAGCCGCCTCATTGTCTTCTGCCACTATCAAGGGTTCTATACTCTCCTTCATCATCTCCCATAGTGCCAACCCCGGTATTCCCTGTTTCGTGATGCCATCGTGCAGGGCTACTATTTCAGCTTCAGGGGTACTTTTGGAGCACGACGTTTGCTTCTTACAGTAAGCAGCTATAGGAACGAAAGTGTGCGGTCCTTGAAGACAAAGATATACCCCCGACGTAGATCTATGGTCGTTCTTGTCGCTGGCAAGATCGGCGTCGCAGTATAGTACAAGACGGATGTCTCCTATCCTATCCCCGACCCATCCGTAGAGGCTCGTTGTGGTCGTCTCGTTGATGTATGAGATCAGTCTATGCATTCTCTTGTCACAGAGATGTGTCCAGGTCGTCAGCCTCGACGCCAGAACCTGTACTGGTCGCAGTAGGTCATACCTTCCGACTCTGGCCCCATACAAGATCTTCATGAGTACCGCAGGGGCGTGCTCTTTCAACACTCCCGGCCCCTCATCCGGCAGCTCGTACTTGGCTATCCCCATAATTTCGTTCACCTTGTCGTCTACTGGGTTCTCGTCGAACTCTGGGCGGCTCTCGTCGAGATATGGGGTCTTAGCTTTATCCAGTGGCTTAGGATATGCCGTCGAGCACAACTCTTGATATCTATCCACACACTGCTTCATGAAATCGGTAACATCATATCGAAGGATCCTGATCTCATCTGGACTATCTTCCTTCGCCTCGGCCTTCCCCACGAAATTAGGCGGTTCTTTCTTGGGCTCGATGATCTTCGTCCACTCGTGTCTCGGCTCAAACGGCGACCGAAAAGGTATCGCGCTAGCCGTGTGCAAGCATCCTAAGTATCTGCCCATACTTCGTGGCTCTTCGAGCTTGATTCTCTTCGCCAGCTTCTCCCATCCTATCGCTAAGTTCTCTTTGGGCCCCGCAAGCTTGAAGTCGTCGACGTAGATCACCAGCATCAGCTTCAGCTCCTTATGGAAGAACACACTAGGCCAATCTGAGAGGAATTCGAAGCCGACCTCAGTCACGGCCTTTTCGCAGTGCTTTTCCCAGAACCCCCCGGCATCCGGATGCCCGTATAAAGCTAGTCTCAGTGGCACCACGGGGTCGTCTATGCCCTCCCATTCATCTGGCCACCTATCCCTCGGGATCCGTATCCATGTTTTAGGCCCCCCCAACAGCGCCTGCGTGTATGCCGACTCACCGTCCGACATCTCGATGTCATGTCCTGGCAGCATCCCATAGGCATCCGCCATCTTGCCTGCCTCAAGTGTCGCGGGACATGATGTGATTTCCTGAAAGATGGCCCACTTTCCCTCCTGGTCTTTGACATGACATCCCTCAAACACAACTCTCCCCTTATACTTTCTAAGAGGATCGTCTTCAGCAAGCTCCCAGTTCTTTTCCACACAGATGTCAAAGATACGACCTACATGAGCTATTTCCCCTCTATCCATTGCCTCCCGTTGAACGTCCTTCCACGAACGCACCTCCTCCATTATCCAGACCACTTGATCCATCAGCTTTTTCCATTCTTTATCAAGCGCTGCCCGAGCCTTGGGGTTGATCGCCCTCTCAGCCTTCGTCACGGGTCTAGCGACAAGTCCGAAAACTTCCTCGATGTCCTCCTCTTCGTCCTCTATGATTGTGGCCATCAGTGGCTCACACTCTCCCACTGTCTCGTCGATGTTATCACACATTTCATTTTCCGCAACCTCTTCCCAACTATCCTCTTGATCTGCATCCACCTGTATAGCAGGGACTGCGACTATTCCATCTCCATACTCCTCGTCTTCAGTCTGATAACCCTGCCGGATCAAATTATCAAAGGGGGTAGTATGCTTGTTCATGAAGCATGCGAAGCAAAGCGTCATCGACGTGAGGATCAAGCTAGGTACCTTGGCTTTTCCCTCCAACAGTCGTCGACATTCTCGGCACTTGTATGTCCTATTCGAGACATGCTTGATGCCGATTCGCCGCCTATCCTCATCTCTATTCCTCCTTGCTCTCAGCCCATGATCCACACTATCCCTGTCCCTTTCCCTCGCACGGGCCTCTCTTGCCCAGATTGCTTTCTTGCTCTCCCGATGTGCCCTACGATGTCTCACTTCCTTCACGTTCTCAGGCATCATGCACCCGCGCATCCTCGGCCGTAGACATACTCCCTTAGCGAATTCCATTCTCATGATTGGCCCCCCTCCTCCTCCAAACGTGATGGGAAAGCTATTTCTATTCTGTATAGCCACCAGGATCTCTCGCTCAGGTGATACCTCGTATCCTATGACGTCGCACATGGTCTCTGCCACAAGCTGCCCGAGCGCAGACACTCTTACACTGGTGCCAGGATCTTCCGGATACGCTATCCCAGTACGAACCCAGGTGTATCCTATCAGTGGAACATGGACGTCGTCCTTTAGTTCGAGGACTAGTGCGTTTCTCTCTGCCTCCCACATGACTATGTTGCATTCGCCCTTCTCCATAGTTTCGAGGTTAATGGTTTCGGCGTGTCTGGCCCTGAAGAATGCCTCATCCACCGGTTCCCGTTCCTCTTCCAAGTCTGACAGCGTCCATCCTTCCGAGTCAAACACATCGCTCTGGTCGTCGAATCCGGAGCTTTCCTCTCTATCTTGGTCGTGGCGTCGATCTGTGTCGCTGTTCTCCCTCTCCCCGATCAGCACTATCATCCATCCGTCGCCGTTCATGTCTCCCACCTCGAGCTCTTCTCCAGGGTAAGCTACTGCGGCCCCTCCGGTACTATGTCTGATGCGGCGACTGTTTGGCTTCATCATCATAACCTTGCCTATGTCGTCGCCGTCGACCAGGATCACGCGCAGGTCTTGTATGTGTTTCGCTCGGGGTCCGAAGATCTCCCCCATTGCCTCTCGGCCAGGATTGTTCATAACTATGCATCTTTTCCATCTGGTCTCCGCACGACTGATGTATGGTGCCCCATCCTCGGCCGCCGCAGCAGCATAGTTCCTTACCAGCGTCTGATCTTCTCTATCCGTAGCATCGTCGACGTGCTCGTCGTCTCCCTCCATGTCTATCACCCAATACGAGTTTCCTCCGTTCATTCTTCTCTTGGCTATCTTCAACAGCTTCTCTAGTGATCCCCCAGTCTCATCACCCCTAATCGTTCCCTTTTCCAGCTGCGCCAAGGAGTCTACGTCAAGTGTCACCATGCCACTGCCATATCCGATATACTCTCCCTCGTGTTCTTCACACGCCATCGACACCGAGTCATCCTCTTCCTCGCCGCAGATGTCTATCGCGTCCTTTATCACCTTGATCATTTCGCGTATCGCTTTACACTCCTGCTCTCGCTGTACGTCCGTCTTCGTGTCCGATGTCCTCACCATGCGCGACATTAACTCATGATCCCTTGGCATATGATCGCATGCTAACATGTCCGCCGCGATCGCATTCATCATACATGGTGTGACGACTCCTATGTAACACGACGCGTCTACCCCGTCATGCATGCCCAGCATGCATCCATCACTCCGCACTATCCACATGTCCCAGGCAAGCGCCATCCGAACAATGGTCTCGTCAGCCAGTCGACTTTTACCGCCTATCCAGATGGTCGTAGCCACTATTCCTCTGCTGTTGGCGTCTGTGATAACCTTTTCTACATTGCCAAATACTCTTTCTCGAGCCTCTCGCGTACTATCTAGGCCTTCCTCACGTCTCCACCCGGATGCCTTCCGATCAACTTCTATTCTCATGCCGTTGCTAGACGCATCGATAGCAATGACCACATCTGTCACACCCTCTCCTATCACACATCCTTCCCCCGATATCCAAGATACGTTCTCACCTCCGTTACCCCCGATCTCTTCTATTCCGACCCCCATGATCTGCACTTTAGGCTGTTCGCCCAACTCCCTCATCATTTCCCCAACGATGTTGTCGGACGGCGTTCGCGCTATTCCAGCTGTGCTGCACAATTGGTTGATGGTTTTCGTAACCTCCTCAGTATCCCCCATCCTGGACGCCGGTGCAGCAGGTTCTGCTGATTCTCCTCTATCCCTGATTCGTCGGTCTTCTCCTCCGTCGGGGATGTACCAGAACTCCGTGATGATGTCCCTGGGCACAACGAATCGGTATCTCCCTCTATTGCGCATCATCTCTGCCTGTATACAAGAGTCGTACTCAATGGATTCTAAGACCTCTCCAGTATTAGCGCTCCGAGTGACCCTCCACCAGAGCTCAAGCCGTCTTTTGTCCCTTCCGCCATAGAATCGGTAGGATGTGGCGCGATTGTTTCTTACTGCCCATACTCGGCCACCCTCAGGCATTCCCGGTGGGGGATCCCATCGGTACTCCGGCGGTGAGAATTCCTGGCCATGGTCGGTGATTTTCTCCATCCATTCTCGAGCTCCAATTTCTGCGGGACGCGGTCCTATTTCCTCTTGCCCTCGAACGGCCGAAGGGGGCCTCTCTCCTCTGATGATCCTCTCTTTGTCTCCCTCGATATAACGTAGTCGCTGTCCCGGGCTCATCCTATTCCACTCTGCTGACGAAATGGAGTTGGGTTTGTGAGATCTCGCGTACGGCCGCTCTATTCTGGGCATGTCTTGTTCGTAGTCTAAACCCACCCCCCGTATACCCGTCGCCTTCTCTCCCCGCGCCCGCTCCTTGGCTTCATCATCTATCTCTCCCTCAGGCTCCCCCTTTTCCCAGAACGTAGTGCACCCCGTCCATTTCTTGGTGATCTTCTTCTTGCCCTTCATTCTATCCTCATCCAGCACCTCCGATGTACCATCGGCGTACACTATCCACGTTCGCCTCCTTGGACCCAGCTCTCTATCCCCGGGGCCACCTGTACCTTTGACCTCCTCGCCTGGGGTACACAGCTCCTTTCGGGGTAAGATGTGATGAAGCGTCCACGAATGGTCTATCTCATCATGTTCCCAGAAATCCCCGTTTTGAAGATGCTGATCGTCGCACTTAATTTGTCTCATCACATCGGCTCGTACCCTTCTCTCCTCTGCGAAGATTTCCTCCGTCTCCTCTCCTTGCTGCCCCTCTCTCTCCAGTTCCAATCTGGCCAGGGCATCAGCTCGAGTCGCTGTCATGATTCTCGACTTCCTATCAGCCACAGCTTGCATCGGGAAGTAGTTGGGCATCTCCTCGTCAAGTACTATCCTCTTCACGCGGTGTATCGACGGTACCGTCCATCCGTGATACAGGTGCGCCAGCTCAACCACTATATAGTCTCCGCTCGGAACACCCCCTGGTTGGAGCGCGTAACCTAGGAACAATCCGGGTGACGCCGGAGTGTCGAACTTCGCCTTGGATGCCATGGCATACGCTTGCTCTTCCTCGGCGTCGTGATCTACATATTCTTCCCCTTCCCCACCATCGTCTGCACACGCTGCCTGGCATAAGCCATCCGCTAATGTCGCAAAGTGCTCATCCAATCTGAAGCCCAGCCTCATCAACTTCCACTTGTCGTCCACAGATGCCTTTTTACCCGCTGCCAGGGTATATCCCACCGCTATCACTCTATCCTCCGGCGCCAAGGCATCTTCGGTAGCATGCCAAACTCTTGGATTGAACTTTAGCCCACTATCCACCTTCCGAGTCCTTCCCCATATCCATTTTCCCGGAAGCACCTCTTTCTCTATCCCGGCGGCCTTGCCACCCTCACTCGCACACTGTTCCTCTTCTGTCCAGATCATAGCTTCGCCCGCCCTCTCGCTTACCGGTACAACAAAGTTGTATGTCTGGCTCTCGTTAAACTTGTCCTTGTGAGGCCCCATCCTGGTTCCGACAGACACAATCACCGTTGTAAAAGTAGCTTCTGGGAAGCATTTTGCTATCAGCTCGCAGCACACCATGGCTATCCCCGGATATTCTTTGGCACTATTCGTAACGCCAACCTTTCCTCCGTACGCATACAGCCCCAGGACTATGAACCCTCTATACCGGTGGCCATGCTCCGCGAATTCTTCGCTATTCCTTTTTCTATCGAAGTGAACTTCAGGATGATGTCCTTTGCATGCTGCACATCAAAGTCCTGCGTCATGACCATGTCGAGCGCACGTCTATCGATCTCTCTCAGCTCTTCCTCCCTTTGCGAGCGTTGTTCTTTAGTTTCCTTCGTTTCAGAGGGCAAGGCCATGCTCGAAACATCTTCATCAGCTCCGAGAATCTCAAGAGCGTCATTTTCAGGATCCCCCCGTTCGAGCAGGGCCGCGTCCTCTTTGCCAGCTTTTCTAGGCTTTTCGGCAATGGGGAGGTAGTTAACAAGTGCCCCGAAAGGAATCAGTTTCACTTTGTCTTGCTCGTTGCCATGTCTTTTCCCGTACGGGCTTACCCCGTCCACTTGTTGTACGTTCCTATGGAAGCAGAACGTCTGCACAGCGTACGGCCACCACTTCGGTTCTAGTCCTGCTTGTCTCAGCAATACTCTGCCACCGTAGATTACTTCTTTGACCTTGAGCTCCGCTATGCTATTCGTTCGGGGTAATCCGGGTGTAGAAGTCGCCCTGCAAGTTCCTATGACGTCGCAGGCTTTTGAGAATTCACCGGCTCCGTCTGCGTACAGATGCACTACCATATCTGGGCCTCGGAACTCAGTGATAGCTCGCACAAACTCATCCGTTCCCCTGGACTTTACGGGCGTGCAGTGTATCCACTGTGTCTTGAAGTCGAACATCACGATTGCATTGTTTTCTCCGCGGATTCCCTTGTCTTTGTTGCTGCGAAGAACTATCGTGTCAGCAGTGACCCTCTCCCCGAACTTCTCGGCGCCCTTGTCTGTGATGCCTTCGCCCCTGTTGAAAGGGACGTTTATTGCTTTGCCTTGTCGACAAGCAACGCAGTGCATGTTCTTTGGGAGATGCGTGAGCAAATGTTCCGTCGATTTTGCATACTCCGGTGAGTATCTTGCTCTCCGGATGCTCACAGTTTTGCTCGACCCTATCCCTTCGCCAATTCTATCCGCAACTCGAACCTGATCCGCAGGTCCGTCTTCTGCCTTTGCTTGTTCCACTTCTCCCATGTCACCGGCGCTATCATCCTTCTGAGGCTCTCCCACTCCTCTTCTAGCCTGTTCTTCATCGGCTATTCCTGGCAAATCTATATCATCATCCAATTCGCCTCCGTTTTCGGCGCTTTCTTCCTCGCCGGGTACAGCGACGACTTGCTCCGCGATCCTTAGGTCGTCATCCGGACTCTTCTTCATTCCGTGGATGAGCTGAAACTCCGCATCCGTCATATTGCGTGCGCTTTGCCCCGCCTCAATCTGCTCAGGACTCAAAGCTCTTTCACAAAAACCGCATACCCCGGATGAATCGGCCTTACACGCGGCGCAGTAGAACGTCGTTCTCAGTCGACCGTCACCATCGTCTTGTTCTGTCGTTGTCTCCCTATTCCTCTCGTCTATCCCCTTTTCGACCACTGATGAAATTCGGTGGTGCTTACGCATAGTCTCCTTGATGGCTCGCACTAATCCCGGTGCCCACTCCGACCAGTTTTGTGACTCGCTCATCTCGCCCTTGCTTCTATCACTGCTATCATTCGTCGCTCCAGTCCCTGGTCCTCTAAGATTGACCGCCCATCCTATCAACTCTGCGTCAGTCGCTATCGTTGTCAGCTTTTTCCTAGAGTGTCCCATCGGTCCCTGATCAAAACTGAACAGCTTCGTTCCTAGGATGGCACTCGTCCTATCCCATTCTTCTGTCGCCCACAATGATGCGTATCCCCCTTCTGGCGTATCATCCCAATACGTCTCGGGGTCCTGGGGCTGCTCAATGAGACACATCGTTGGGGCTCTCAATCGTCGGTGACGTGCCTTTCCTATCACCACAAGCATGCACACGCGCAGTATGATGATATCGTCGTCACGGCATTCCTGCTTCTGTGCCCAACTGACTCGACCTAAGCGGAATCGGACCAGGCCTTCTGTATCTCATCACGGACCTCGTTCTGCAAGGCGGTCCGGCTAGCCAGCAAAAAACCAAATTGGTTGTGGCCAGCTTCACTAGCCACCACCATGTATCAGATCGCAGCACGTTCTCCTCCATGTCGATGTCTATCACACTCATTCCTAATTCACTTGCGATGTCATCAAACTTTCCCCTTGACTTTCCACAACAAATGTGCACAATAACCCTTCTGCTCCCTTCAATCGCTTTCCTTATCTTCATGATTTCAGGTCTCGTTTCTCCCTGGGGTTTATGTGCCTTTCCGCCGTCAAGTATCTCTTGAGGAGCAAGTGGCCATAAACACCTTGCTATCTCGACTAGCGTCTCTGCCTCGCCACCGGTACCGATGTTCTTGTCCAGCATCATCATCAAGTCATCTAGCCCCGCGTTTTCGTCCGCAGCCATTCTATTCAAGATATGTTTTCTCACCTTCGCGCTATCGCTCTGCACCGCTTCTCCTGCATCCGCTCCTTCGAATGTGAGCCCTTCTATCTTGAACATGGTCTTGCCTGTCCATAAGTCCTTCTCCGCGTCTCTACTCTCTCCCTCATTGCACTTGTCCACCCAGTCTATCCATTCCGCCACGGTTTTGCCACCTTCGTACACACGTTTGGATCTACACCGCTCGGCGAATCGCGGTACAAGTGCATGTATCTCCGGGAATTTCAGTGTCTCAAACCACGGATCGCAAGTCTTCGTTCTTGGTTTGTTGTGGAAACACACCGCCTTATTACCTGTTAACATCCACTTGTCCAGCAGCCTCCCATCGTCGTTTGTGACCTTTCCTATCGGTTCCTCCTCGGTGTCTCTATCCGTGTCCGAGTCCACGCTTTTGGGGCTACATTCTTCCTGTTTTTCTTCGATTTTCCTCGGACTGGAATTTCCTCGCACAGGTAGTTCAATTGCAAGAGGCGCTGGCATCGCAGGATAGATGTGATAGTCACTTCGCTCATTCTCGCTAACGACCGTTGATGTTCTATCCACCATGTAGGGAATATCCCCGATGACTTTTAGCACTATCAGGCTCGAGTCAGGTTTGACGAACACGGGGTTAGCACCCGCCAGCCAATGAAATGAATATCCCATTTTCATACATTTCCTCCCCATCGACAGAACAGCGGGAGTACTCTCGAGCATTCTAATCCTCATTGTCTCAGGCATCCCTTGTATATCCATGCAGATCTCTTGCTTTGACGTGGTGTTGCCGTTGGCGGTGTTGAACCTCACTTTCTTCGCCTCAATGGCCATATCTTTTTCGTCCTGGGTGAGGTCTGCTTCTGCTATGAGATCCATAGCGCATCCCGAGTCTATCATCCATCGTCTCATTACCGGTGGCAAGCAATGCTGTGCTGATGCCGCCGGCTGACTATCCTCTCGACTATCCACGCGGAACCTCTCGTCGACTATACCTATTCTCCTGCATTCCTCCACTATCCTGTCAGCCAATCTTGATGCATCCTTACCTTCCTCGCCTTGCTCCCCGGCTAGTATGTCCAGCACGACCTCTTCGGCCAGAGATATCCCGCGCAGCCTTGCCTTTGCCTCTTCAATCACGGGATATCGTTTCACATCATGTTCATACCCCTTCTTGTGTACGTTTTTGCATTTTCGCACCATCTTGTCGGCTGTGTGTCCTTTCCAATAGCATATATCCAGTCCTGCTATCCCCGTCTCTTCGGAGCCCAACCCCTTGACTCGCCTATTACCCTTCCTCACTCGCTCCCTGCCTGTCGTTGTCACCAGTATTCCCCTAAGCGTGCCTTCGGCGCTATCATCCCCTTGTCGTACCACAGGCATGGCCGTAAATACCTGACTATCATCGCTGGCCTGTGGGTTTCGGCCCGCCCCTAGCGAAAACTCGGCCCTTCACCATCAGCATGTGGACTCGATGGCCTCGTCTCCTTCTGTTCTATCTCTACTGTCTCAAATGCCTCCCTAATGCTATTCGGGATAGCCTCATGGAGCATTTTACACTTGTCATTTCTACAGCTGCCATACCGAAAATGCTCAAAGCAGTATCCCGCCTTCTTGAGGACCTCTTCCGCCTGACTATACAGATAGATATCGTGCGAATGCTTGCAGTCCGCCGCAGTCATCGGGCACGTTCCACGCGTATAGGGGTAGCAGACCCCTCTCTTTCCAAACGGCGACTTGGATCCATATCTATTCTTCGGGTCGTCAGCTCTCCCCGCCTGCGAAAGTCCGTCCCTGCCTCTTCCCACAGATATCCCTCTTCCGTAGCCATTTCCCCCTGCGGGCGATGAACTCCTCGGTCTATCATCAGCGTACGCGCTTCTTCTATTCACCGGCGCTCTATATGATCCCTGCTGAGCCGGCATCGCGGCATATCCACTCGTGAACGCCTGTCGACTCACCCGCATTGAGGCCTCGTCTATGTTCTTGTCCGCTCTCCACATCTCCAGTCTATCCTTGATTCTCTTTCGCAACCAGGTGTGCGTCTTGGCCTCGTCCGGAAGCAATCTCCACGCCTCAATATCGTGGTTCAGCACCTGAACTCTCTGCACCTTCGAATGCAACATCCATCCCAGCTGTTGCTCGCTCCAGGTATTGCCTTTCAGCCCTACAAGGTTCGTGTGCGCCAGATCCCATCTAGTCATGAACTCCTCCAGTGCCTCCTCTTCGGGCTTCCCCGGGAAATGCATAACCTTCGTGCTGCTCAGACCATCGTACAGCACCTGACTCTCTTTAGCTATCGGGATCTCAACATGTTTTACTATCAGCGTAAGCAATCTCATGGCCGTCATCGGTTTTCCATCTCCCACTTGCTGAGTCTTGTACATCTCCATCTTCACCTTCGCTGACAATGACTCTGACTTTATTGCTCTCTTCAATCCGCTAAACAGCTGATTCTCTAGCGCAGGGTACTTGAGTTCCATGTCTATCATCGC